GTCAGGACCAGTGTGGGTGGTGGGTGTGGCGTCAGGACCAGTGTGGGTGGTGGGTGTGGCGTCAGGACCAGTGTGGGTGGTGGGTGTGGCGTCAGGACCAGTGTGGGTGGCAGGTGTGGCGTCAGGACCAGTGTGGGTGGCGGGTGTGGCGTCAGGACCAGTGTGGGTGGTGGGTGTGGCGTCAGGACCAGTGTGGGTGGCGGGTGTGGCGTCAGGACCAGTGTGGGTGGTGGGTGTGGCGTCAGGACCAGTGTGGGTGGTGGGTGTGGCGTCAGGACCAGTGTGGGTGGTGGGTGTGGCGTCAGGACCAGTGTGGGTGGTGGGTGTGGCGTCAGGACCAGTGTGGGTGGTGGGTGTGGCGTCAGGACCAGTGTGGGTGGCAGGTGCGGCGTCAGGACCAGTGTGGGTGGCGGGTGTGGCGTCAGGACCAGTGTGGGTGGTGGGTGTGGCGTCAGGACCAGTGTGGGTGGCGGGTGTGGCGTCAGGACCAGTGTGGGTGGTGGGTGTGGCGTCAGGACCAGTGTGGGTGGTGGGTGTGGCGTCAGGACCAGTGTGGGTGGTGGGTGTGGCGTCAGGACCAGTGTGGGTGGCAGGTGTGGCGTCAGGACCAGTGTGGGTGGCGGGTGTGGCGTCAGGACCAGTGTGGGTGGCGGGTGTGGCGTCAGGACCAGTGTGGGTGGTGGGTGTGGCGTCAGGACCAGTGTGGGTGGTGGGTGTGGCGTCAGGACCAGTGTGGGTGGTGGGTGTGGCGTCAGGACCAGTGTGGGTGGTGGGTGTGGCGTCAGGACCAGTGTGGGTGGTGGGTGTGGCGTCAGGACCAGTGTGGGTGGTGGGTGTGGCGTCAGGACCAGTGTGGGTGGTGGGTGTGGCGTCAGGACCAGTGTGGGTGGTGGGTGTGGCGTCAGGACCAGTGTGGGTGGTGGGTGTGGCGTCAGGACCAGTGTGGGTGGTGGGTGTGGCGTCAGGACCAGTGTGGGTGGTGGGTGTGGCGTCAGGACCAGTGTGGGTGGTGGGTGTGGCGTCAGGACCAGTGTGGGTGGTGGGTGTGGCGTCAGGACCAGTGTGGGTGGTGGGTGTGGCGTCAGGACCAGTGTGGGTGGTGGGTGTGGCGTCAGGACCAGTGTGGGTGGTGGGTGTGGCGCTCAGGGCTGCCTGCATCTCTCATGCCCCCCCCCCTGGAAGGGGAAGTATTTCTCATGCCCCCCCCACTGGAAGGGGAAGCATCTCTCATGCCCCCCCTGGAAGGGGAAGCATCTCTCATGCCTCCCCTGGAAGGGGAAGCATCTCTCATGCCCCCCTGGAAGAGGAAGCATCTCTCATGCCCCCCCTGGAAGGGGAAGCATCTCTCATGCCTCCCCTGGAAGGGGAAGCATCTCTCATGCCTCCTCTGGAAGGGGAAGCATCTCTCATGCCCCCCCTGGAAGGGGAAGCATCTCTCATGCCTCCCCTGGAAGGGGAAGCATCTCTCATGCCCCCCTGGAAGAGGAAGCATCTCTCATGCCCCCCTGGAAGAGGAAGCATCTCTCATGCCCCCCTGGAAGGGGAAGCATCTCTCATGCCTCCCCTGGAAGGGGAAGCATCTCTCATGCCCCCCCTGGAAGGGGAAGCATCTCTCATGCCTCCCCTGGAAGGGGAAGCATCTCTCATGCCTCCCCTGGAAGGGGAAGCATCTCTCATGCCCCCCCCCCCCCTGGAAGAAATAACACTGCGTAACCTCCAGACCACACTATCTACGCCTGACCACACTATCTACGCCTGACCACACTATCTACGCCTGACCACACTGTGTCTCCCTTGCTTGCCACTATCTCTCCATCTCTGTACCGTGTCTGCCTCTCTTTATCTCTGCTATTCTGCCTATTCTTTACACGTCTGCTTGTCTGTGACGACCACTAAGCTAATATGTCTGTTTATATCCTTCCCCCTCCCTCACCCTCTCCCTCTCTCACCCTAAAAACACTCCCTCTCTCTCTCTCTCTCTCTCTCCATATTCCTGGTCAACTTACTCCCTCCTTCCATATCATCCTGGGACAAAATATAATTCCTTAATTTCTCTTTTTTTTTTCTTTGAGAACGCACTTTGTTATATTTTTGTTTAAACTAATGGTAGAACTCCATTGAAACAGCGTTGATGTTCTTAGCTGGGCACCAGAGGCTGGGAGGTGTTATCATGGACCACCTCACAAGGAACCCGTCTCTTAATGCTGAGCTGTTTAATGGAGGCATTATTGTTATTTAATATTAAGTTGCAATCATAATAGAGTTACTGGGTGAGGGGGGGAGAGGTACTGGGTGAGGAGGGGAGAGGTACTGGGTGAGGGGGGAGAGGTACTGGGTGAGGGGAGGAGAGGTACTGGGTGAGGGGGGGAGAGGTACTGGGTGAGGGGCGGGGAGGTGCTGGGTGAGGGGGCGGGGAGGTGCTGGGTGAGGGGGCGGGGAGGTGCTGGGTGAGGGGGGGAGAGGTACTGGGTGAGGGGGGGAGAGGTACTGGGTGAGGGGCGGGGAGGTGCTGGGCGAGGGGGCGGGGAGGTGCTGGGTGAGGGGGCGGGGAGGTGCTGGGTGAGGGGGCGGGGAGGTGCTGGGTGAGGGGGCGGGGAGGTGCTGGGTGAGGGGGCGGGGAGGTGCTGGGTGAGGGGGGAGAGGTACTGGGTGAGGGGGGGGAGAGGTACTGGGTGAGGGGAGGGGAGATACTGGGTGAGGGGCGGGGAGGTGCTGGGTGAGGAGGGGGGGAGGTACTGGGTGAGGTCTCTCTCTGTCTGTCTCTCTCTCTCTGTCTCTCTCTCTCTCTCTGTCTCTCTCAGGAGCCTCACTGTCCAAAATATATCCTCCTCCCTCATCTCTCCTTGGCCAGCATGAGGGGCCTCGCAACTGAGTGGACAGAGCTTGGGGGTCGTAGTTCTAAGAGCCCGGGTTTGATTCTCGGCCGAGGCAGAAACAAATAGGACACAGTTTCATTCACCCTGATGCCTCTTTTCAACTTGCAGTAAATGGGTACCTGGGAGCTAGACCACCTGCTTCCTGGTGATGTGTGTGTGCGTGTGCGTGCTCACCTAGTTGTGTTTGCGGAGGTTGAGCTCTGGCTTTTTGGTCCCGCCTCTCAACTGTTAATCAACAGGTGTACAGGTTCCTGAGCCTATTGGGCTCTATCATATCTACATTTGAAACTGTGTATGGAGTCAGCCTCCACCACATCACTTCCTAATGCATTCCATCCGTTAACTACTCTGCCACTGAAAAAGCTCTTTCTAACGTCCCTGTGGCTCATGTGGGTACTCAGTTTCCACCTGTGTCCCCTTGTTCGCGTATCACCCGTGCTAAACAGTTTATCCTTTTTAATCACGTTAATTCATCTGAGAATTTTGTAGATAGTGATCATGTCTCCACTTACTCTTGTGTCTTTCAGTGTCGTGAGGTGCATTTCACGCACGCACGCACTTTGTGTGTGCGCGCGTGCGTGCGTGGATGCGTGTTAGAGAGAAATATATATGCAATAGACATAATAAATGGAAAACAGATTGGTTAGAAAGGCGGAATCCTAGAGCTAATAGCTCGATCCTGCAGGCACAAATAGTAAACACACGCACTCCCCCTCTCCCCCCGTCTCTCTCTCTCTCCCTCCTCTCTCTCTCACTCTCTCTCTCTCTCTCTCTCTCTCTCTCTCTCTCTCTCTCTCTCTCTCTCTCTCTCTCTCTCTCTCTCTCTCTCTCTCTCTCTCTCTCTCTCTCTCTCTCTCTCTCACTCTCACTCTCCTTACTCTCCCGTTCTCTCTCACCGGGCCCCCACACTCCCCCCCCCTTGAATTATGCAGGCTACCGCGGCAGAAGAAAAAGTCGGTTTTATTTGTGCGGGTTTACGAGGCTGTTAAGGGTCCGGCTCGGCTACAGGCGGGGAACGGAGTTACTGCCTCCCGCCCCGCCCCGCCCCGGGGGATGGGAAGCGGGGACAGACGACGCCCCGTACCTCCTCCCACTTGGGATAGACGTGCACACCATCTCATGGTGAGAGGTGCTGCGATTTGGAATAGATAAGGCAAGGATCTGGAAGAGAGAAGACCTGGATCTGGGGAAGATGTTCATGGTAGTGCCCGGGGCTCACGTGACCGGGGCTCACGTGTCCGGGGCTCACGTGTCCGGGGCTCACGTGTCCGGGGCTCACGTGACCGGGGCTCACGTGTCCGGGGCTCACGTGTCCGGGGCTCACGTGTCCGGGGCTCACGTGCTCGGGGCTAACATGAACCAATAAGCAGGCGAATGGTGCCACATAACATTATATTTATCCTCAAAAGCCAAACCCAGCAGCTGGGACAAGGCTTGGCACCGTGGCTCTCCCTCCCTCACCTTCCTCCCAGACCCAGCAGCTAGGCCTAGCCAGCGGCTACTGTGGCTCTGTGGTTCGCCTCGTCTTTCACATTCTTTAATTTCCTTCTGGTGACCTTTACACTTCACATCTGTGGAC